AATATTCCTATTCCCAACAACAGTAACAGTGAAAATATTACTATTGCTGGGAATAGGAATGCTGTTCAGTATTACTGTTACTAGTAATAGAAATATATACAATATTCGTATTACTGGTAACAGTAACAGTAATGTGCCATCTCTAGGTCGGATGTAGAGCCTACGACTGTTTGACAACCTATAAGCTAACCTATAAAAGTTTTCACAACCTAAACCTAACCTAACCTAGGTTAACCTAATACAACCTTTTGCAATTTTTTTTTCCAAAATCTGGTTTCAGAAGCCTAAACTTCAGTTTTGTTCCAGATCGTTATTGTTTTTTTTATCTAAACACCGTCTGAAAGGTAAGCTTATACAAAATAAAGCGCATTTTACATGAATATAGAAACGAATCGATTGAGTCTTTTATTCTTTAATGCAATTTTTGAAAAATAGTTTTCTGAGTTGGGAGACCCTCTTAAGAGTAGACCAGAATTTCACTTTGGGCTCTAGATGCTACGAAGGTTCTGTTATTGTGGTGTATTTGGCATCTATTGTTAACAAAGGTAAGTTTTTTCTCTGTACTTTCTTTTCTGATTGTGCTACTTTTCAGTTTAAAAATAGTTCAATTTAAACTAGAGAACCTCAGTCTGAACTTCATTCTCAATCGATAAAATTCCATTCGGACTACGGTTTATTACTCAAAGTGTTGGCTGGTTTAATGTGGTCGTTCAAAATCGTTTTTTTTCGTTTAGGTTAAAAATAGGTTATCAATGACGTAACCTACAACCTAACCTAATCTATAGGTTAGGTTAGGTTAAGTTAGGTTTAACCTGCAGGGCTCTAATCGGATGAAGAAACAAGTCTAAACAGAAATGCCCATCCGGACGTCAACTAGGAGAGTAACAGAAAGTGCAAAAAACGTAGTAACTTAACGAGAATCCCCATTAAACTTCAAACTTCATTTTTCCTTCTTACGAAGAAAAAATCAAAATAACTTTACGTACAGACTCTACAGTTCATATTCATACCTATTCCAATCTGAAATATCTTTGTCGCTTAGCATTGATTTCATTTCATTTAACTCATCCTTGAACGTAGCAAGTTTAGCCATATGATGACTTGGTTCATTTTTGCTTGATAGTTCATCTGACGAAGAAGAACTTAAATAATGAATGTTTCAGAATTAATAATCTATCAAATAAATTAGTTGATCATTAACATACTTTTTCAGAAATGTAAATTGTTTGTCTAGAAGAATTGTTCGCATGAGACTAGGCCTTTTAGCATTTGAACTGGTTCTAAAACAAGAATTTGTTTAATCTTCTCTGGAAATAAAAAGTTGATTGTTTATTAACTTACTCAAAAGAACCACGACGGTTTTTATTTACATGAGTTACATTGTCACTCTAAAAATAACCATAAAATAGTTTGACATATTAAATTCAAACAAAATCGGATACGAACATTACTGAATAAATTATCCATTTAAATCACCATGCGATGACCACTAACAGAAGCTTTCTAAAGATTATAGATGACAAAGCAGAAGACTTACGCACGAATGAAAAGATAACTACGAAAATTTATTGTTAATCATATGCGTGTGTCGTCTAAAAAATAAGAGAATCGCGTGTAAAAAGAAGATATGAAAGGTACATTAATAATAAAAAACGATGATAAGTTCGTTTAGCTCGACTCTTTCAATTGTGCTTTATTTTCTAGTACACTGTTATTTTATATGTTCAAAAGAGAAAAGTTAATATAACATCTTTTGGCAATAGATATTCTAAATACGCTAGTTATTCCTAACATTAACACGTGAGCGTATGTTTGCGTATGTTTAGCACAAAAGATCAATTAATTGTTTATAGATGCGCTAATCGGTGTTTGTAGTTTAGCAATAATCTCTTTGGACAATTTCTCCTATAATCCGACTGGATCCTTTCATGCTCTTGTTGTTGCGATATCAGTCTTTACTTCTAAGCGATAGAAAGAAGAACCAAGAATATTTAAAAACAAAAATCATTGTAGTTTGAAGTTCTATTTAAATTATTTCCTTATATATAAAAAGCTTTATATTTTAAGTTTTATATGCAAGGGTGCCAACTGTAAAATGCACAGTTCGGAAAAAAGTCCATTAAAATCGGAAAAAATTGGAAAGAAAAGGTATTGAAAATCAGAAGAATCATTTTTTTCATAATACTTTAACAAGTTAAAGATAATAGCCTTTTCTGCTAGAACAACACGCGATCTATTTTCCAACAGAAAAAACACATTCAACAACAGTTACAAAAATCAAATATGTTAAGCAATGACTGTTTCTTTTGTGATTTTTTTTAACTATTCATTCATGAAAAATCCTTTTAAGTGTTTTTCGTGAATGAATTTTAAAAAACAATAAACTGTGAAACAAATCAAAACAAAAACATACTTAGTCAAATTGATGTTTTGCTATATCTGTGTATTTTTTTGACTACGTACTGGTTTTAATAGATCTGGTTGAGATAGAATTAAATTATAAAACTGATTACAATTGATATCACTCCGATATGTGACACATGTGAAAAAAGCTTTATGACATCATGTTAATTAACTGAATTCTTTTACGAATATGTACTTTTCAGAAAAAAACTCCAGAAATCGGAAAAGAAGCTCAAAATCAGAAAAATTCCTATAAATCAGAAGAGTTGGCAACCCTGTTTATATGTTACTTTTAGCTAGTCTAGCTGATAATGTCGAGATCAGAGTCAGAAGAATTCCCGAATAAGCGGAGTAAAGCAGAAAAGTTTTTGAAAGAAAACGCAGTTTATCAAAAGCGCAGTATTGCTTGTGTAACTCATCATTTTCAATCGGAAGTCAATAACGCGGTCAATTGGTCGATAAATGGCAGTGTTTTTCAAACTAGGGTTTTCTACCGGCTAAAAAATAATGTCCTTCATTTTAGATTATTTAATTTACATCGGACTTTCTACAGCTGGTGATCATACTAACGTAAAAAAATGTCTCAGTGACTCTCGACAAAGAAAAAAAATGAAATCCTTTTTAATTGATTCGCTCTGATACGTGAAAGTCAACAAAACCTATAAAAAACATTTTCTACATCCGCCGGATTAAAGATAACAATTTAGATTATGTTAAACAGAGAACATTTACTGAATAAAAGAAATAAGGTTCTCACATCAAGTCTTTTCTCTTCAAGCTTCTGAATTAGAAGATATATGTTTTTATAAAGCGTGCGGCAAGACAAAAGATTAATTTTCCCGTCGCTTTTGTTTCTTAACTAGCTTACTGTTTTATGCATGATACGAAGCAATATTTTATATCATTAAAACATACACTAAAGGCAAAATTGAGATATTTTACGACAGACTAATTAGCAACAAATAATTGACTTTATATTTCTGTGAAAAAAAAAGTAGAATACTTTTTGAACGTTTTATTAAGGTATAATAGGTGATGATAATTCTGTTCTTATATGGCCATCGAGAAAAAAATAAATAATCTTTTTTTGTGAAAATATAAAGAAAAAGAAATGAATAATACTATTTAAAAGAGAGAGTTAATTGAGGAAAAACATCATTGTTCATCTATAATCGAAGGTTCCAGTCTGTAATAGAAAGTTAAAAAAATATTAAAAAAAAATTGTCAATTGTTACGATAAACAGTTCTGTTTTTTTCCCGTTTTTATTCTCTAGTGAATCAATATTGTTTTCAACAAAATCGCATAACGTATGACATGAACTTGTTATTTTGTCAATTATGTAGACTATTAAACTAAAAAATATTAATGATCACGTGTACGTGTATCCGTTTTAAATCCAATTTACGATTTTATGTTGGGTTAATGGCAAACAAAAATAGATCTAGTGTTTCGTCAATAATGATAAATATGAAAGAGATATCACATCGATAAGCAAACATCCTGTGTACGTACGTACACAAAAAATTTAAAATATTTAAAAGCACTGGAACTTTTTATCATAAAATAAAACCATAAAACAAAATCATTGTTAGAGGAGAATGATCCGTTATTGTTAAACTAATAATGTCAAAGTGGAGAACAACTATAGTGATTTCAACGTACAGATTAATAGTTCGTTAACTCTGGATAGGAACGATGTGGAGTTTTATAAATGCCTATTTTACATTTGTCTTAGCAATTGAAATTTTCTATTATCATGAGCTAAAAATGCATTCGTGTTTTCATAAGAACATCATCCGAATATTATTATGATGTGCATAATGATTTGTAACGCTGATGAATCAGTGATCTTCTTTCCTCCTTGTTTTTCCCTTCAAAATGAAAACAACAATAAAATCTAAAAAAGCTCATCGCTTCGTTTGTTTTACTGATACAAAAACAAGAAAAATCCACACATGCCTTTATACACGCAGAAATGGGTTAAACCTTGATAGCAAAACAAAGCAAAAGAAAAAAACAAACCATTTTAAATCTGAAAGCAACAACATCGAATAGAAGAAGCTATCATCTCAAATAAATGAAAAAACAGCAAGCACATGCTTATTCTTTGCTTCAAAAAAACAATAATAGAAACAATTATCAAGATAAAGAGAGAGAGAGAGAGAAATCACTGTAAGGAGAAAAAGAGAAAATAATCGAGGAAAAATGCTTCTATGTATGTGAAAGATTTCTAATCCGACACAAAAAAACTCTCTACTTTTAACAATGTGTGTTCTATTCACGTGGAGGATTCTCTATTAAATAAAAATATCATTCTCTATGAACGGTACCAGCCGTTTAAATCTAACACACATACACGCACGCACAAAATATGTAGAGTTGAAAAAAAAATGATTATTTGTACAAGGAGAGAAAAATATAAACAACACACTTAAAATAATTTTAAACGTTTTTTTATTTCGATTCGACGCCATTCGGGTAATGCATAGAAATCGTTTCGAGACATTCGAAATAATGTATGAAATTCAATATCAGATAAATGACGCTGCAAATAAATAATAAAAAAAAATCTGTCACATATAACTATCAAAAATCGTTGAGCAAGATTTACATACTTCTAATCTATCTCGATCAACATCGGCTGGTAAACGTTTTTTTGCCATCACTTTTAATTCTTCATATGGATATGCCTTAAAAGAAAACAAAAATATTAATAACGCATTGTATTAGATAGATAGTACTTACTTTTGGATTTCCAACTAGATTTGGGGCTGAACGTGTAGAATGTGCATTTCTAGAATCAAGATATTGTCGTGTATAACTTCCGTCAGTTAAACCAACATCGACCGTCTATACAACAATAAAATAAACGCTATTATAAAAAAAGTGAACAACTCTAACGTATTTATTACTAACTTTAGCTGATTTAGTATGATCTTCATTTGAATAATATGAATTTGTGCCCAAATCTGTACTATCCATATCACAACTCCGTTGCATCACCTACAAATAATAATATAGGATAATTTCAAGTATTTATTATTAAATAGGTTCACGTACTAGTCCAGTTGGCAATGTTTGTGCTTTCGGTGATAGAGACAAACCATATCCAGGCCTCAAAACTAAAATAGATCAAAATAGAATTTAATAAACACAGTAGATTATGTGAAAAAACAACAATTATGCACCTAAATTCTCAATAATAAAGACTGAAGCGTAGAAAAATCAAAACTTAACGCCAGTGAAACGTCTCTACATGGTTTTTTAAGCGCACACATCAATTTTCAAATCGATAAAGCTTTTTCTACTACTATTTTTGGACACAACGGCTGATTCCACAGAAAAGTGTAAATATCATGCAAAAATCGAAGAGAAAAAATTATTACTAAGTTTCGTTTCACTTCAAATCCAACTAATATGAAATATACCATTTACTATTCTTCTAAACTAACTGTTAATTCTTTCCACCAGTAAGTAATTACTACTTATCCTATTTATGAACGTTGTTATTAAAAATTTTGCTAAAATTTTTGCTACAGATTGCTTAGTTGGTTATTTTAGATACGTGGCAATAATTTGGATCAAAGTATAGTGAGTGTTTAATTTCAAAATCTTAACTAATTGATCAGTCTGTTTCTAATAAGAGTAAGTATACATTCAATCTAATTTTTTATTATGTGTTGTATGTGTTAGAGAAATGAAGAAGAAGCGAGTAACACACACACACACACCTTCAAGTGTCATCATCTAACCTGGTGAATGACGTAATAGATCATATTTAATCGGCTCTAGAAATATTTACAAATAAAGAAAAATGACTATTTCTCTTTGTCTTGTTACCTTGGGAACGTGGTAATGTAATTCGTTTACTTCCACCAGCACCAGTCACCGATGATGAAACAGTTGTTGATAGAAGATTTTCATCGTTTGACGAATGTGTATATACACGAGATGGTGAGGCAAATTTTGGTGAATCATAACGTGTTTTTCTCGGCGGTTCAACAGCAGCCGATGGTGATCGTGATGATTTCCATGGATCGAGAGGTAATTGTTTTGATATGAATTTTTCTTGATTTTTTAAGTCTTCTAACATAGCATGTGCCATCCATGATGAATCTTTTAACTTAGACATAGTTTGAATATCTTTTTCTAATTTTAAATCTCGTCGAATTTCATTTCCATCATCTGTTTCATCATAATCGTCTTCTTCATTATCTAATTCGTTACCGCTATTAATTATATCGGTTGTGATTGTGATATCATCATCTCGATGAATATTCATACTGTCATCGGTGATTGGTTCGTGTGAACATTGACTATGACTGTTATTGTGAGTACGAAGATAATGATGATGGTAAGATTTATCAGTTGTTCGAGATTCACTTCTGCTTCGATGAGATTTCATTACTAAAATATAGCACAAAAAAATTTAATAATAATTAACCGTTGTGAATTAGTATCGTTGCACATACATTCAGGCATTGCTTGTATTGCAACGGGTCCAGGCCAATCGAGTCCTTCGATTTTCTTTGGTAGGTTTGGATCTGGAACATAGCCGCCTGAATAACGTGATAATAGAATTGGTTCTTCATTTTTTAATTCTGTTGATATTGCAGAAGATGGTGGATGTTGAGGTGAATCAGATTTTCTTATTTTTCGAATTTTTTGATATTGACCTGTAAAAAATAATTCAGATAATTTAACGCTAAACGCAGCTAACATCACGGCATACCGGTCACCAATGCTTTCATTCCTAAATTAAAATAACAAACAAAGCTCATGACTTTATCAGTAAAACAAAGAGGTAAATTAGAGATCTTACCTTTTTTCTGACCAGGTACAGAAAACGCTTGGGATCTGTTATAACTGAATCCGACTAAAAGGCAACAAAAAAGTAACAATTTACATAGTGCTGTTACACAAAGATGTGCAGTTTGTGAAAACTTTTCCGCTATTTTTGGTAGAAAGATCAAGCAACGTTTGATGTTTCAAGGCGATATTCACGGTAGTTTAATTTTGGGTTTATCCCTCATAAGAATACTCTCTTGATAGCGCTTTTACATGATTATCTCACTATCACTAGAGGTTTTCCTTGAGCACATATGCACTACACTGACAAGCTGCTTTCCACGACTGATGTGAATTTTCATAAAACTATATTTATACAGTTTAGTCAAGGACTGAAGAACTGTCCATATTAAACTGAAGCGTTCCAACAAGATATTATCGAACAACAATAAATTAATCAAATATTCCTTATGAGATTTGAAAATTTATTCGCGAAATATTATGACTGTACTCTAAGTACAAGAAAATGAAAAGCAGAAACTACGCGACTCATTTTATCTGTTTTGACAGTCTACTTTCGTCAAACTGAAATGCAAAGAATATTTTTCTCCTCTTTTGTAAAGTCTCTGTTTATTTTCAGCCCATAGGATATTCTTCAGTGAAATACATATTGTATTAATATCTTTATTTAGAATCAAAATATAGCCTTATTGATTTATGCACACATGAATATTGTTTGTTACTCGTGCAGAAAGACTTAGTTAAGTTATGAAGTTTATAAACTTGACTCAACGATCAAAGCGTTTCAGTGTGTAATAATACACATTATTACAGTATATTATCCTCTTTTTTTTTATAAAAAAGAAATGTTACATCACAAAGAATATGTAACGTCTGTTCCCTATTAAATAAACAGTGTTAACCTCCGTCTCTTTGCAAATTACTCATATTTCATTTCTATTGACATACATACACCGTCAACTGTTTGGCTTCTTCATCTGTTTTCCATTTAAAAGATCAAGTGAATATAATTGAGTTATGATCTGATTGTCCAGATTACGTTATAAACTGTTTTAGGGTGTATAAATACAGAACAAAAATTTTCGCCAAACATATACCGGATATCAAGAAATAATAATAATAAAACGATCCGCAATATGAACAGTGACATAATGAATATGTATACTCTTTAAGGAACGAACAATTTCTTTCTTTATTGACCATATTAACGATAATGTATTTATTTACGTAAAACAGATTCTTCCTCTCTCCCTTTCTTTTGTTAAAGCGAGTGAAAACCTCTCCACACGACACTAGTTTTAACACGTGCTGGGAAACAGATAAAGAAGAACTGCACTTAATTACTTAACTCTCTTAAATAGTGTTTTCTTTTCATTTCAGCTTAACAAATGTGTTCAGTTATTTCTCATCTTGTAACATTTAAAGTGCACCAATTGAAAAAAAGTAGAAAAAATAAAACCTGTTAAACTCTAACTAACAGTTAAATGGATTAAAAAAAACCATGCACTTTTATTTATATAACATATTCACAACTAATCTCATTTCTGCCATGAAAAAAAAGGACAAAAATAAAAAAAAACGTCAAATACTTTGAAGTAAAAAGCGGCAGTCCATTCAGCTATGTGCAGTTGTATGTACAATTCACAAGTCTAAGGGAGAATTAGTTCAAAACGACTTCATTCTGTAGCCTGGATGTTTCTTTCTCTATCATATGACGTTGATCAAAGCATATCCTTTTATTCTCCAAAATTTCCTTACAGACAGACGTGATTTAAAAGGGTCTAATGAGTACGATGTAACCTTCGAACTCTGTAAGCGTGAACAATTAGATTTGGGATTGAAAACGTTAAGAAAAAGTTTTAGGTGTAAAACAGTATTTGTTTCTAATCAGTTTCTGGCGATTTTTATTTATATGATAGAATTCAGGTTTCTGAACAACTTTGTTATTTGACATGATATTAACATCGGTTTCCTTGAAGCGGTACAAGTTTTTTTCTCAGAACCTAGTGCATTTTAACGGAGTGTTTCTTTTTTTAACCGCTATGCATAAAAATCGGAAAAAATCTTTACGTACAGTTGATTATGTCTTAATTAGCTCAAAATCATATGATAGAGAAAGGAGGTATATTCCCGATTTGTCGATACATTAATTTTTTTCCTGACTCGTCGACAACATTTTGGGTGGGGAGATAAAAGATGACTGTGAGCCGCCGACACTATAAAGTGTCGACAAATCAGGAAAATTAATTAACGTATCGACGAATCGGAACTGAACCAGAAAGGAACATCCAGGCTACAAAACGAAATGTCATTATGAACTAACTACCACATTTCTCTACAAAATGACGTATAACTGCACTTTCCATCTTGAATCAGTACTCAGATAAAAAAATGTTTGCCGAACCTTCCATGACCAGCAGTGACACCAATACAGATTGATACCGGTTTCGTTCTTTTCGTCGACAGGCAATTATGGCACAAAAAAAAAAGATAAAGAGTTGTGTCATATCTTATTTTGTAGAAAAATGTTTGCTCTACAAAACTGAGTCGTCAAAAAACTTTGATAGTGCGCAATTTTCAGTCGATCTGATACAGAAAATGAGAAAATATACCGATAAATACCGGTACATGCCGACGGACAAAAATACGATCAGACAAACGTTCTGTAGATTCGAAAGTCCATTTAGCTACTAAAAGAATTTTACATTATATTTGCATATTTATCAGAGAACGAAAGTATTTTGCAATATTCATTTTAACAAAATAAACATCAGCTTTACGTAGACGATATTTTGAAAATACATTTTAAATGTAATTCACAATTTTAGAACTGTTTCTCAGAAACAATTCATAGAGTTGAAATTCTACAGTACAATACCAGTTTTTCGTTGATTTATATATTTGTAAAAATCCTGTTGAATTTTTATAAATACTATCTCATTCACTATCAAAAAGTATTGATCGAAAGCATAAAATAAAAGATAAAATATTTTACCCATTTCTTTTCGCTTAAAATCGCCATGTGCTTGTTTTAGATTTTTATGTAACGTTATCATTATTAGTAAAAAATGATCGTTTTATTTCGACTCTTCAATGTGTGCAACTTAAAGAATACTTTCTCATTGTTATCATTACTTTTTGTTCCAAGTTGGATATCTATTGAATGATTTTTTGCGTATGTTTTTCTTTCTTTATTTCGATTCTTTCTATTCTTTTTTTCAAAAAATTCATCGCTTATCATCACCAAATCATCGTTCTTAGAGTATTACTTTAGTACCAAGGTCTCCATGGGTGCATGTTCGTTTTTCTTTCTGTTCAAGATCAGACGGAACAAGTATAATAAAAAAAAAATTTGTGTGTTTAATAGCAAAACCCGGAAATATTTATATTCCATAAAATATAAAAATACCTCTCTCTCTCTCTATGTAACAGAATGTATACTCTTAAGTATATATATTTTCTTTTTTCTACTTTTGTTATTATTTCTAACTGTCATCTCAAAGCACCAACAACTCTATTCTTGGTTCTTTTAACAAACGCACACATCAGCTGGATGATCATCTTTTTCGTGTCAGTGTATGTTGATTTTACATCTGATGGAATATCGAAAAAGAAATAAGAAAAATATTTTTTGCCATTTCTTTTTTCTTCGTCTTTTCTCTATTTTTCATTAAAAAGATGTTAATAAGGATGTTGATTGAACATTGAAAAACATTTTTCAAGTCTAATATATTCATTCACATAATCTTAATTACACTCCGTTGGTCTTAAAATTACGATGTCAAAATAATTTGTAATTTCATAGCTTTGACAACGGATAAAAGAAATTTCAATATTAACTCAGAGGCTCCTCTGACTGGAAGTTCTCGTTCGCTTAATACCATTTGATATAAAATCAATACTCAGGTCAAATTCATCCAAACGGTTTCGATCGGCTATATGTGATTTTTCTGATAAATTCCTCGACAAGGTATCAATCGGATCCGAAGGTAAGGATCCAATTGGATCCTTTCATATTTGTCGTTTGCGATCGTTATTTTGGTCGAAATCAGTAAAAATTTCGATTCTCTCTAGCCGTCGGAACTGGTCGAATCTGTTTCCTCAGAGAATCCGATCGAATTTGATACTGAACTTGCCGGAATAAGATAAATTTCGATGAAATGAAACATCGATTCCTCATGATATTGGTGAGTATCATCAGAAAAAATGACTGATCCGGGTATGAACGTTCTAAGAATCATCCGAAGACATGTCATGTCGTGTGTTTTCAACGTATCAATAACATGTGAAATTCATTTGTCTTTAAACGAATTTACTATGAGCTCTCCGATACACCTGTTCAAACATGTCAACATCTTTTTGGAATTCAGCAGTATGTTATTGTCTGATAAAAGAATGATGGTTGTTATTGTTATTGTTGGTTCGATTCACTATCAACAAGCAAACAGTGCAAAAGATTACTCAACTGCACACATTCTCGTGTACATATTATTTTTTTCGGTATCAATTTATTATTTTTTTTTATGCAGCAACTGTAAACCTTTAGATCAAATACCTTTAGAGTAGTATAGATGTACTGATTCAGACCGAAACAAATTGGTATACATATATGTTCGATTATGTAATTATATTCAATGGAGGAACGATGTATGCTTCATTACATATAATAAGAAAAAATAACAGACATTTATCTTCCGAGATACAAAAAGAAAAATGAGCAATTTTAGAAGAGGATAAATCTTTCTCATTCTTGTGCTTTTAAAAGTAAAAATTAGCTTGTATGATGGTCATAACAACGGAAATTGGATAGAAATTACAAGCATGTTGTGTCTAAGACCAATGGAACATTGTCGCTACTTTCTTTTCTTGAATAAACATTTTCTCTCTCTCTCTCGCGTGTTGACCAAACAGGAAATTTTTTAACTGATTGTCGGATTTAAACCCATTAACTCACAACGGATCATCTATTGTTGGTATCGATTTCCGTCATCTGCGCTGAAGGGCACACACGCATTCAAACTGTCTTCTCTTATTTCAAGTTAAACACAAGTTGACATATGTACGAATAATTATGAACATTCTGTTTAACAAACAGAAACAGATGAACATCTGATATAAAATAGAGAAGCGAAGGCATGGTGAGATAAATTCAACTTGGCGAATGTGAATCACTTATTATATTTTCAAGATATAAAAACAATTAATTATGGCTTATGATTGATTAGTTAAGATAAAGAAAATTATGTTACTAGTCTCTTTAGTGAAAGAAAAGAATGGCAGGATGCCAAGCTGTTCTATGGAAGTTATAGTATATGTACAATTCTAAGAAAAATTATTTAAGAACATTGACCAGACTCTCTATTAGTGGTATTGTTATCAAATAAGAATAAGTTATTATTATTTTTTTAAAAACTAACCTCTTGAAAAACATAAGTCCTATTATATATCATTTCCATGTGATTAGACATAATATTATGGATATAGAGAGCAAAAATAGACAAATCTCTCTTCAAACTGCAGTCAAGTGAACTAAACCTTAGAAAAGAGAAGAGATCCTTATATACTCTCTTTTTTTTAAGAGTTTTATCAGGAGATAAATGCTTGTTAACCATAATCTATTTCAATCACTAATATGTACCGTCTCTCTTTGATTCAATATACATATATATACAACATACTTGTCAAACAATCAATCAATTAATTTTTAGAGAAAATTATGTATTACAGTCTGATTCCATCTTGGTTATCATACTTATACGTTGAACTAAGTAACAACTGAAATATTCATACAAATTGAGCAAAAACAGACGATAATTTTATAACACTTTATAAACAAGATCAATCCACTTTTTGGCAACAATCTTACACACCTAATGTTTACTATGTCAAGAATAATTCATCTATTTAACTAAGTCATTTTTCTTCCTCGAAAAACATCATCGTTAAATTCATTTTACTTACTTGGTCGATGAAAATGTGGTGATTGGGGCGTTTTATGATCAACGCCTCGCCTCAAATAGCCCATATTTTCTTCACCATTAATATATCCCGATGTTAACACTCGATTTAAATCATTGCCACTTATTTGAGTGGCCGTATATCCACTAATTAGACAACTCTAAAATAAAGAAGAAAAAATATATTAGCAATTCTTTTGTTTTTTTTGTTAAATTCAAATTTTATTTCAATTTCTAAAAAGTGTAAATAAATTAGCAAGTTTAAAATATAAATCAAGCGCACACTATGCACAGTATAAGCATGCAAAAAAATTACAGATGCATACTAGTCAATTAATCAAGCATGATTTTTGTTGTTGTTTTTTTGTTTTGTTTTATAGATACAAAAATGACATGAAACACCTAATTAGATTTGAATTCTTGTCAACAATGACTCTATTTATGTTTTTGAAAAGAATAATATACATTAATTAAAACACCTTTAAACTCATAATCTATTATGTAATTATTATTGTTGACGGATTGATATTTAAACATATTACTATTATTATTATTATAAACGATATAGGTTGTTGACAAGTAAATGATTAAAGAATAATCATTAGTTAGTTGACAAGAAAATGAATGAAACATGCTTTTCTTTTTCTTCTCTTTTCATACAATATTACAAGAGCTTTAACTCTATATCCTCTATATTAGATGAAACAAAACAAAAAAAAAGAAGATAATTGAACTGATAAGAATAATGTGTTTTAGACAACTAAGATGAGAATAATTAACAGAAAAACAATTAAAAACAAACGATATAATATAACTTTGAACAATAAAAAAAATAATGTCAAGGAATTATCTTCTAACCCAATCAAGTTGATGACATATTCAACCTTGGTAATAAAATAAATCAATATCCAACGGGTCTATGATTAAATGTTCATCTTTGTATAGAGTTAAAACTAATATTATCAGAGTATTATAACCTTTTAAAAATAAATATCTCTCAGACGTTAGTCATGAAACTTTAAATTAATTAATGTTATGTCTGGCACTATAGCTTTGCCTTTCTCTTCTTTTTTATTCGATGAAATATTTTTAATTTAATTCATTTAAATAATTTTCTCTTCTCTTTGTGTATACATGCGTACTACGTATTTTGATAAAACATCAATAATTCACATTCTCTTTTAAATTAATAAAAAACAACAACAACAACATCATGCATTACGTTATTTTGGACATTATTAACAATTAAGTTTTATTCAATTAAATTTATTACCATTCTCATTGTGTGAAATAATTAATAATAGTTAAAACTAACAGTCAATTTAATATATGAAAATTACTTTACAAGATGATCACACGATCATATAGACACATTATTTATTTATTTATTTAGTCGATTAAAAATTATGCATGTATGTGCATCCTGTCATACTTCTCATTCATTCATTCATCCAATTAATGGTTCGTTAATAATAATAGGGTGTACATTACAGATTTTTTTTTGTTTTTTTGTTGCACGTATTTCCTATCTTAAGGTAAGAAGAGAACAAAAGATAGAAGAAGCACACACGTACATATAGAAAGAACATTGAAATGATTGAAAGCATCTTTTTGTACAATTATAGAATAATACTTTATATTAAACAATAGAGAAAATGCTCTTTTGATAATATTAGATTATTCTCTTGTGAGAATGTGTTTTAGTAATACGTTTATGTGTGCGTATGTACGTGTTACTGTTTTTCAAGTATAGTATTCTATCATATGCATGCACACATACTCAAACTTCTTCTGAAGAATCTTCACCTTTTGCATTTCATTTGAACACTGCGAACAAAATGATGAACTAGGACGTCGTGCAGAATAATTACAATAAGAATAGAATGGTGCCTAAAAAATATAAGAAATGGCAAAAATAGCATATAAATAAGATAGAGCCAGAGAAGCAAATATTTAAAGCACAAGCAAGAAGCATAGATAAGGAATCACAGCATTAGAACAAAAAAGGAAAAAAAACACAAGAAAAGTTTTTTTTTTTACAACTAACTTTTTGTGGTAAACAGCTGTGTAAAATACCATCAGTTAAATCTAAAATAAAAAAATAAGATATTTGAAAATCTGCTTGATAAAAACTGATGAGTAACAGAGCGTCCGTAACTGATCCTAGTTCATGTTTAAGAAGACTAAAACTTTGTAATTTCAACCTCCAGAAAAAAATGCTACGACTACAAGATGAATCTGAATGGTTTATGGTTTTTTATCCAATCAATGACTGTCGTTTTTACACAATGATCTCATAAAAACTAGGAAAGAATAATTTTTCGTACCTCTTGGACTTGGTTCACTTGAATCGCAACATTTTCCATTTATAACATCGACATGCATTTCTGTTGATTGATCACACAACGTAACGGTATCAGTTACTAATTTGCCTTCTCCTCCCACATCACCACCACCACCACCACTTGAACGATCAATTAATGGTGACGATGTTCGAACTGGTGTTCTATTACTAAATGAACTTTCATCAGAACACGAATATTGTTTCACTTTAGAATAATCAAAACCACCGGAATCAATAGTCGATTTAGCAGGTAACAATTTTTCACTTGTCTCAATTAAATTTTCTTTATTTTCACTACGTTGTTGTTGCTGCTGTTTATGTTGTTGTTGATCATCACCACTTTTACTTGTAAAGCCTTGGTTATCACCAGTTTTATCTGATTTTCTCACTTTTCTGAAAAATACACATAGATAAAATGAATTAGGTCATTCATGACTTTATATCAGTTAATTACTTTTTCTTTAGAAATGAAAACATCTTTGGATGAAACTTAAATCAAAGTAAATTGTTGATTCTAAAACGAAAACATGGAAAAAGTATTAGGAATATTTATAAAAAAGTTTTGACGTAAAATTGACTTCAACAGCATCTATGAGATAACTATGAGATAAATATTTCCGAAATAATAGTATTGATCGTTTACTGAAGCGTGCATACTTTTTGACAAGAAATTTTTTTATAAAAGAGAAGAATATTATCAAAATAATAACGATTCTTTCTCAATTTCGCTCATAAAAATCTGTTTGGATGTGTATGTACACTAGATATAAGTTGTACAAACCTTGTCGTTATTTTATAGTAAAAGTAATTCATTCCATATTCAGATGGAAAAGAGAGGGAAAGAGAGAGAGAGAGAGAGAGAGACAGAGAGAAAGAGAGAGAGAATGGAAGAAAGAAAGAAAATATCGTCGGACATTTTCTTAACCATTAACCAACATTATTAGAGGAAAAGAAAATATTGGGTACTTGTCTAATATAAACAATCAATCTTCATTACTATCATTGTCTGCTATCGTTTTCATTTTTTGTTGTTATTTAAAAAATAATCAGAATACTAAAATAAATAATCTTTTTTTCTTCTTCCTCTCTTCTTCTTCTTAACTACTCAACATAATATCTAGATCGTTTACAGTTGAAAGATCAACCATATGGGATACATTTTGACATAGAGGACGTGTTATTATAACGATAAGATAAATTAGAATAGTATAAAATAAATTTTGTTTTTAAAATATAATAATTACACGTTAATCATGTTAATCATTCATTTTCAAAACACTTACGTTTTGTAAAATTTAATATCTCTTGTCTTTCTCTACTCATATAAACAATAAAAACAAAGTACACACAAAACAACAATCGTGTAAAAAAAAAACAAAGAAAAGATAGTTGGTGACGATCAATAATAAACGTAAAATAGAATAAATTAAATTTTTTCTATTATAATTTTTTGTTACAATTCTTTAACTAATTATTCTGGGACAATGTATGACATTTATATACGTGTATATCTCTTGATATTATGTTTTAATAAAACAAATTTTAATGAAATTATTGTTTCAATTATCAGCTATCGACATGCTCGTGAACGGTTGTTTGAGAACAAAAAATATCTAGACAACATTTGTAAAAAACAACACATCATTCATACTCTATTGGAAACAATATATAAAAATATCGTTCAAAATTTTCAAATTTATTTAAGTACGAAAAATATGTAAACTGTCCTTCAGTAACTCAATAGATAGAATGTTTTTTTTTGACTTAAATTGTAGCTATACTACATTTTTCATACAAATTCTTTGTCATTCGCAAATTACACTTTTTCCACAAATGAGAATGAAAAAAAATTCAAAAAATGTTTTAGGGTAAAAATGATGACAGAAGACTCGATCAATCATCTATTGCCAGATGCTGCATATCATTCATTCGAGATAATTTTCATAAAACTGATCTTAATCTCAATTCGTGCGACAGCAGAGATTTATCAAATAGATTATCAAATTATGGAAACTACTGTATGATGAAAAATATAGATATCAGTAACATCGTTTTTCAAATGAATGATGACACCTGACGAAATAAACAAGGCTAAACACTTTGTTCTTTCCTATCTAGAAGCAAGGTTCAAATTATCCTTAAAATAGACTCTAATAGGCTCTAATACAAATAGACAGAGAATACTGAATACAACTTTACAGTTTGAAAAAAAAAAAATTATAAAAATAGACGTTTACATCTTTTTTTTTCTTCTTCTTCTTCTGTTCATTATAAACAACAAAATTACTTGAATACTCTCACGAGACCTGTCGTTCGTTTAACTCTCACAATGTCCTGTTTTTTTTTGGGGGGGGGTTCAGTAATTAAAAAAAAACATAACTTACTGTTAAAATTTTTGTCCTGTTCTGTGAGATCGATTATTGTCTTCTCTTATTATAAATTAAATAAGTATTAAGAAACGATGTATAATATTTTTAATGTTATTTAAACAAATCGAAACGAATGTTGTATATATGTCTGAGAAAAATTGAACGATATCATAGATGACGAAAAAAATAATATTTGATCACTATGTATTTTCCCGTTATTTTTATTTATTTTTGATCTTCTTCTGTTAGATAGAAGAAATAGAGAGTAATGTATAAAAATATTGAAAAATAAGAAAAGTTTTTTCTTTTTTTTCTTTTAATATTAATAAAACGAAGAAAAGTAAAAATTAGTAATGAAGAGTTATTCTATAATAAAAAAAAAAAGTATATATAGTTTTCTCTTCAAAAATACCGTGTTCAATGACGCGTCTATGTCCTTGGCGTGTGCTTCTTTTTTCTTTCAAAAAAAAAACTCAAGAAATAAATACCACTACGAACAAATAAATGAATAATCTCTCTAATCTTAAATTAGGATCTTTGTGTCCGAACGTTAATAAATAAAGCTTTTTGATACTAATGTTAACTTATACATTTTTTCTTCATTCTTTCTCTTCTTCTTCTTCATTGTAAATTATCAACGGGAAAAAAAGAAAAGAGGTCCATATGATCCTGTGCTATATGTGTAACCAGAGAAAAGAGCAACAAGTTTCTTTTTTTTTCTTCTCACTTCTTGAAAAAAAAAACTGATATCATACAACGGAATTTACTAACGTATACATACTGCATCAGTATGTCCATTTATTTTCTTGCCTTTTTTTTTTTTTTCTAGATGACGATAAACAACAGGTCGCTGGTAACTACTCGTCTGCTTTCTGAATTTCCCTTTTTTTTTTTTTTGTACATATATATTATGTGTAAAGTTGCCTTTAGGAGAAAGAATCCATTCTGATGTATATAGGTCATAGTTATAGACAGATGAAGCTTTAGGCGCTGGACTCGATTATTTCTCTCTTTTATTCTTCTTCTGTAAATAGCAAAATGATGAAGTGACACAAAGAAGAATGGGATAATTTTTCTTCATTGTTGTATTATTGAACAATATATATTCTGATAAATGAGCAGTGTGATACCGAAAAAAAAAAACAACAACGCTAAGCAATAGTAGTTTCATAAATGGAGAAGAGGCAAAAAAGAATATGGCAATATATTGTTTTTTTACATAATGTTAATACAATAATGAAGAAGTGAAATAAAGATGGTTATTTATACAATAAAAATGTGTGTACGTGTCATGTGTCCTCTGATATTGAAAATGCAAGAATAAATAGACTAAACAAAATTACAAGATTTATTCGGTTTAGATACGTGTACTCTCTCTAAAAATAAAGATGATTTATGAAACCTTTAAAAGGTTCTTCAGTTGTATATCAGATACAAATCTTTTAAAAATTCGATAGAAAGAAAGGTTCCATAGCTAAACTGCAGAACCTCTGATGCATTTGAATAATTTATAAATGCATTTACTTATTTCTCTACATTTTGGTTACATTACTTTGAGATGAAAAATGAAAATTTAAAAGAATACTAAAGTATTTATTTTTTGACGCAGTTTATGCTATATTCTCTATCGAAAAACACGCCTGAACTGTTGAAACGATCTATAGCATATTTAAAAAAGTCTCCGTACTATTGTACCTAAAATGAGTCAAAAAAAGTTTCTCAGTTTAGCAACGGAACCTTTAAAAGATTCTTATCTAGAATCGAACTTAAGAATCTTTTAAAGGTTCCGTAAAATACCTTTCTTATTCGATGGGTTTAGGTATATCACAGAGAAGAATGTACTACTCAATTTTTGCAACTCATAAATATTTGTGGATTTTATCTTATAGTATCTCTTGGTATTTTTCAATTTTCAAAATCTATGCACACCTTTGTTTTTTGAGCTAAAATGATGAAAATTTCACTACTTCTCTGTTTCAATATCTGTAGCGTATAATATTGCGTTTGGCAAAAAAAGAACAGTATCTTGACTATTCAGGGATGCATATCAACATTTTATAGAATAATCATTAATATAGAAAAAAGCAGAACACACACACACAGACACGTACACGCTATTATACATAAACTCTACGTTTTTTTCTCTCTCTCTCGCTTATCAATATTATGCAAATGTTGTTATATGTTACGTGTCAATGTAGAGGATATTATACGAATATTTTATATAATGAGATATATAAATGCATAACCAATTGATCTTCAACCTTCTAAACTTCCGCATGAAAGAAAGATACCATTTAATTATTCTTATTCCAAAGGAGAAAGACTTTTGAGCATATGTACACAAATAGCATATTTAATATTGAAAAAAACAGGTTATGCACTCTTCATTTGTCCACTAAAAAAATTTAAATTAAAGCTTATCCGAAAAATTAACAACGTCACATTTGAGAGATATTGAAGAAAATTGAGCTGTTAGATGACTACATGTTCTGGTATAGGACAAAATAAAAAAACAAACAAACAATATGCAATCCGAACAGAAAACGGAATTCTAGAACATGGATAATAGTTGATTTTTTTCACGCATAGTATTATGTGTGTAACTGATCAACGTATCAACTTAGTGAGCGACAGACAATATCGTTAATTTTCCGCCAACGTATCTCCTCAACCGCTTTTCTTAAACTTCGCAATCTGATAAAAAGAAAAACATAATTCTAACTTATAGAGCACAAAACAAAGGTACGATTCACCTCTGTTTCTTCTTTTGAACGAACCTTCAAGCAGACAAAAGACATTCGTTGTTTTAGGTGAAAATTCTATAGTGTCGGCGAAAATGTTTTAAATCGGTGAGACATCAAAATGTTCAATCAACTGTACAGACTTCTGTATAAAAATATTACTGGCAGTAAATTGTCAACTACAAAATTTTATTCATACGTAGAATCAGTTTTCGGCTTACCTCTGTTAACCAAATGCTGTTGCAAATATCATTATCAAGCATGTCAGATAGGAATAAGCTTATAAAAAACAGGTTTTTAACTTAAGATTATAAAGAAAATTGCAATGGAAGATTGAAAAAACCAGTAATCATCGACATTGTCAAAAAATTCGCTTTCGAACAAAATGATTAGTTTCCCGCCATGTTTTTGAAATGCTTTTCCAACTCCAATAAAAGATCTCATTGTTGGTGAAGCGCCACAACTCATGTCATCATTAGAAAAGAAAATGACAGAAAGAGCTAGAAACTAGCTTTTGACTTTTTTTAAAAATTGTGTAATTTTGATCAATTATTCGAATAAATTTCAAACTCGTTAATGTTCTTATAACAAAAGAAGTGTCGCATGTCGTTTTACGACCAATGGTAAACTCTTCGACCAATTATAAGCATCATCATACTCAAATGCACGGCAACATTTGTAGCATCATCGTAGTGAAATTCAATATCTTATACGGTGATGATATTACGGTAGAAGTGTGACGGACGGATGGGAAAGAAAAAGTACAGGTTTAGCATCACTTTCTGATTGGTTAAATGTTTTTGACCAGAAGTGTTGGAATACCATGGTGGTTTTTGCTTTGGGTTTTTTGAAACAGTGCACACACACCCTTCTTTTGGTCCTGTATCGATCACTTTCATGCGTCTGAATCATTCTTGCATTCTCTTCAACATAGTTCAGAAGTTGTTTTAGAGACTTCGTCTTTCTTAATATACAGAAAACTATCTGAATTTACATAAGTCTGTCGAAAGTTGGAAGCACAGTATATATGTTGAACCCTTAAAGTTGTTTATATATAATTTTTACATAGTTGTTAAAGCAAAAACAATGATTATGTGCTATTTTTAAGATAATTATTATTTAATTACGCACTTATCTAAAATAACTTATACGCGTTGGACACAATCACAATCAAACAGACATACATACTCTTATGTGACACATTATACTGCGTGGTGATTAAATATTAGTTGTTACTTTGAAAACAGTTCTCACTGACATACATAATGACAATATTATCGACGAAGAAGCAAGCAAACGATCGAGATAACCGGAAAGATGAAAATAACTCGCAGCATAATCATGGCAGCCATCGTTTATCGACGTCATCATCAGCAGTAACTGCGAGTACCCGCTCACGACAATCAATTGATGATGTTCAAAATCAACAACAACAACAACAACAACAACAGCAACAACAGTTGTCAGGTACTGGACAAACAGAAACAGACGAACCATCTCCATCATTACTTAATACTTCTGCATCTAAACGTAAAACACGTTCGTCGCCACATCGTGCCGCACGTCGTCAACGTGGGAATAATACTTCAAATAATAATAATAATAATAATAATAATAGTAATAATAATAATAATAATAATAATAACGCGAGTGGTTCACAAAGTGGTGGAAGTAATGTTGGGGCGGGATCAAACACTCCTTCTAGTTGTAATTCTACTTCAGGAAATTTAATTCAACACACAACAATGCAACAGCAACATCCGTCGAGTTCGAGTTCATCAAATTATCATTGGAAGAAAGATGTACCATGCTCATCGACAACAGATACAAATTGTGATGAATATTCTCAATGCAACAGTGAAGATGAATATGAGCAAACGACTTTTAAATACGATAAAAATAATTTGAATGACGTAAGAACCAAAATATATAGTCGAAGACGGAAATTAGTAGTTTATATTTGTTCTCCAAATTTTAGCTTATTTTCTTGATTGATTTGTAAAAAATTTAAATTTAAAAACTATGATATAACTAAATTTTTTTCTTATCATTTAGCTTGAAATGCGTTTTGTTCGAGCACTCAAAGAAAAGAAAAGTTTTGTGATTAAACCAATTAAAGAAGATGGAGCCTGTCTATTTCGTGCTGTTGGTAAGTAATTGATATTTAATGAAACAGATATACTCCTCGTGTTATTTCTCTTAAATAAGTATCTTTCTTCGGTTAGGTTTTTCCATAAGAGGTCGTTTTGTCTAACATAGAGTAATGTATAAATATCATTAATATTCATATAATTTCGTAGGGAAAAAAATTAAATATATGGCGAGATAAATATTAAGTTCCACTTGTTTCATTTTTAATTGTAAAAAAATTTATTTATTCTTAGCTTGCACTTTTAAAAAAGAACAACGAAAAGTGAGAGAAAATTTAAAAAAAGTAAGGATCTTCGTTTGGACAGTTATGAAAAACACCAGCCAAAGTAGAGTTCCAAAGTGTATTGTTTAGTTTTCATAAGACTTGACAGAGTTGGCTTCTGAATATTCCTTCGAAATTCTGTAAGACTTCGCTTACGAAGCAGACGATAATCTAACTTATAACTTGCTAGACATGCTTTTAGCACTTAAACTATTCCAGAATGCCTTCATTCAACAACTAGTTTGATCATTCTAATGCATCTTGGTTTTATTTCTTTTATTTCAAGTGTCATTTTTTCATAGGCTTAATACGATAAAAGAAGTTATGCTCGTCTGACATTTATCTTGTAATATATTTAACTTGTTTTCTTTAAAAAAATATATATCATTACTATTATTTAGTAATGTTACAGTCTTATCTCGCACTTTTTTTATTTAAAATTATTAATAAAACGTATTCTGTTTTTCTTTAAAAACAGCCGATCAAGTTTTGGGCGATGAAGATCTTCATGACACAGTTCGTCAGAAATGTATGGATTATATTGTAAGTTTCTTTTTCTGACAAACTTATTCTTAATCAGGATGTAATTTTCTTAGTAGTCTTATTTTTGTTTTTCTCTCTCTCTCTTATTTTGTAGGTGAAAAATGCTGATTTTTTTCGAAGTTATATAACCGAAGATTTTGATCATTATGTGACTAGAAAACGTAAACAGAATTGTCATGGAAATCATATCGAAATGATAGCATTATCTGAATTATACAATAGACCAATTGAAGTATATGAATATAGTACAGGTGTGTGAATTGCTATTAGTACTAATGACAAATTATAAATGGTTTATAATAATGTGAATTAGCTGTACTACATTAGCAACACTACTTTGGTTCTAATTGTTATATTATAGAACCCATCAATACCGTGCATGGCATGTATAAAACCGATAATGAACCAATCCGATTGAGTTATCATTGTGGCATTCATTATAATTCTGTAATTGATCCATGGAAACCAGTTTCATTGGACCATGGATCTGTGAGTACTTACGTATATGTCTTATAAATATACAGGCTAGAAAGAATGGGTGTTCATCGGTTTACTATCCGTTCAAAATTATGCTAATTATTGTTTTTCAAGTTATATTATTTAGAAGACAAGTAGATAACTTTTTCTGAATATAGATCAGAGAGTTAGACACATCTAATCATCGTAATATCAGATGAGATTCGCATAAAGTAATTAAAAAGATTCTTTAATTCTGCATAAATCTGAAAGCGCCATCTATCATGCTGTCGGTATAGTAACAGCTT